ACAAAAGTTCACATCTTTGACCACTTCTTATTTTTATGCAAATTACATATTTAAAATGTCATTATGAAAATCTGTACATCAGATGTATTCATAAAATATACCGTTGGATTCGTCTCTTCGAGAACTATCCATAAAAGTCAATCTTAACAAAAATCATTAACAACAAAAAATTCTTCGTTTTTGGTCAAACATAGAAATAATGCTTTATTGAGTCAAAATATTGTTTCTAAAATACTTTTATTATAGAATAATTTTTAGGCCATGTTTTGGGGCGTTACATGGGGTCACTTCTCGGGGGGAGGAAGCTTCGGAGGAGGTGTCAGAAGAAAAGTTTTTCTCGTAGTAGGGGTGGATCCTCACCCAAAGAGATAGAGAGAGGGGGGGATTCAAAGAGTTGGTTGAGGTTTGACCGGACAAAGCCATTGAGGATCGAGAAGAATTCTAATATGAGATTGACAATGGAGAAATGGTTCAGCAGGGAAGATTAGGGAAGATTGAGTTCTTGTGAAAGCGTAAGGAAGGACGACAATGACTCACAACTTTATCTTGAAACGACAAAGTTTGTGGGATGTAATGAAGAGAGTGAGTAAGGAGTGCACAGAACAGTTCATTCCACGATCAGAGATCGTGAAGGGGGAAAAGGCTGCAGCCCCCTTGCCCAAAAACGATACTCAAGTGTTTATGAATGGATGCAGCCACGTGTACTACTGTGGTGAAAACAGTCGGGCAATGGTTACTTACCTTCATTCCATAAAATCCTTTTAGGGCTTGATGAGTGGGGGAATCAAGATGGGATATTGGGCCTTTAGGTTCTAGGCCTGGCCTAATCTCCAAAAAGAATCCACCATATCGACTAGAATGACAATGAAGCAGGTCGTCGGGCATGCATGCCTGTACGGGCAAAGAACAGGTCGTCAGCCCATTCACACATAAAGAAGGAATTGGCCTCTTTTTGTGAGCTTTGATTATGCAAGATCACTGATTGGATGACACTGCTAAGACGAGCGTCAATGGCGGAGAAAGACCAAGGTGATTGAACCTTCCATGTCTATCACTTTCCTTGTACTCTATTGAAATATATATATATATATACATATATATATATATATATATATATATATATATATATATATATATATATATATATATATATATATATAAAAAGTAAAAAAGGAATAATTAAATGAAAAAATGCTATTGAAACTTAATTTATATTTCACAAACTAAAGAGAATGAATGATAACAAAATAAGATTTCAAATGTTTGATAATATTTTTACATTCATCTAAAAAAATTAAAACTCAAATTAAAGTATAATTTACACATAATGAAACTTGAACTAAATTTCCAAAATAAATTTATTATTTAATGAATAAATATAAAAAGATTATAATTTTTATAATATACTCCTCCGTCCAAAAAAGCCCTCATATTTAGGTTTGGCCGAAAGTTAAAGAAAAATGAAATTGTGTAACTAAAAGTAATGCTGAGAGAGAAAGATGATGGAGTAGAAAAAATTTGCCATAAACAGGGAGAGATTTCTTATTTTTGGATTGCCTCAAAAGAAAATGAGAAGTCTTTTTTTAGGACAGAGATAGTATTAATATATAAGAAATGTCTCTGGACAAGAGTAAAAAGTTTGAAAATACCAAATTTTGAATCTTATGTCTGTTAAGACCAAAATAGAGATATAATGACAGTGTGATGTAAGAATACACATTGATAGTGTGACGGAAAAGTGATGACAATATAATTTGTCATTGTGATCAGTCAATCGTCGGCGATTTGCAGTGGCACTACGGTGGTTGGCGGCGACGGATGGCAGTGTGACATTGATAATGTGACAGTTACAATGTGACAATGTGTGAGTGTGACATTGTACCAATGAGTGTGTGAACTTATATTTTGGTCTTGAAAAACTTATGACTCATATTTTGATATTTTTATAGTTTTTTACTCATATCTAAGGAGTTCTTTTTAAATATGATTACTAATATATATGTTCAGTTCATGATTTACGATGTAAGAAATTATCTCGTATCGTTTCCAAAAACTGGACCGACAGCTTGATTCGATACAATTCAATTCTTTTACGATAATTTATTATTTCGATATTTTTCAATTCAGTATTCAAATTTTTTTTCATAGAAATTTTGTGATCCATTGTATTAGGGGTGTTCAAAAATATCCGATCCGAAATATCCGTCCACGATCCGGGCCGATCCGATCTGATATTTTAGCTTGCGGATATTTCGGATCGGATACCCGAAAAAAATCGGATCGGATATGGATTAAATTTCGGGATTTTTTCGGATAATCGGATATCTGATTTTTTTTGCTATATACAACAACAACAACCGAGTTAAATCCCACAAGAGTAGGGTTTGGGGAGGGTGTGTGTACGCAGACCTTGCCCCTACTCGAAAATAGAGAGGCTGTTTCCAAAGAGACCCCCAGCTCAACGTCGAAAGTTGCATTGCTTGATTAACTGCTACTTCATTAATTAAAGAAGCGCAGACAGTTTAGAGATCCATTTTGATTTATTCCATCACACCCCAAAGCCAAAAAATGGTGAAATTTTGGCTCCATCGGAGATGATGGATATCCGATATGTTTTTGGAATTTTATGGATATATATTATGACTATATGTTTAAATGTAATTTTATGTTGATTTTGGAAATCACCCATTTTGGACTTTTTGCATTAGCATTTTAGAATTTTTTATTTTAATAGTGTTTTTTTGCTTATTTAGGCAAAATTACCAAAGTTACTCCCAAATTAAATTTGGTATCATTTTTTTATTAGGCCATTACCAAATGGTGGAATTTTTCTTTTAGTAGTCTATATTGAATTTGATATTTTGGGTTGATTTTTCTATTTTACCTTTTTTTTGTAAATTTTGGCTAAAAACTCAACTTTTCGGATAATCCAGTGATCCGATCCGAAAAGTCGGATATCCAAATATTTTCGGATCGGATATGGAATGAGTTTTGCATGATCCAAAATTTTCGGATATCCAAATTTAGGGGTGGACACGGTACGGTTCCGGTTCCGGAACCGCCGGTTCCGGTACCGCCACCCCGAGTAACCGGATATTATACCGTGTCGGCCGGTACTGGTTCCGGTACCGGACCGGCCGGTTTC